AGCTTGAGGATTAGTGTCTAATCAAAAATTGGTTCCACATTTGAACTTCTTAAAGTATAAAACTTGAGAATTTCTTAAGCTTAAGGAAATAATATAATAAGTAAAATTATTCTTAATAAAAATTTTTTAAGTGGAGATAATAAAAAAACTAAATTCTAAACTTAGAGAATCTACAATATTTCTAAATTAGATAGAAACTCATACTTTCATCTTTCTTAACATTAAAAATTTCTAAACTTTAAGTTGGTCTCATTTACTGAATATTTTTTCTAACTTGGACTACTTATTTCTAAATCTAAACTTTAGCAACTCCTAAAGAAAGTCATATACATATCATACTTATTTAGTTTTTTAAAGATTGAAGTGTCACTTGAGGACAAGTAACATTTCAAGTTTAGGGGATTTTGATACACCTAAAATATATAGAGTCTTTAGACACATTTTTATATCTATTTTTGAGATATCGCGCTTTAATGGAATGTATTTGTGTGTTTTTCTTTCAGGTACAAGTAAAAATGTGAAAAATGCTAAAAGGAGTGAAAAAAGATCAAATTTAGAGCAAAAATGTGAAATTTGTGCAAAAGTCTTTTGGTGCCTAAGCGCCAGATCTGGCGCTTACGCGCTGGTGAAACAGAGAAGGCCGCGCTTAAGCGCCAGAGGCTCCACGCTTAAGCGCCATAGGCAATTATGTGGTGGTTTTCTTCATTTGGCCAAATTTTGAAGAGACATTTGAGGCACCTATTGACTGAAGATGGTGGTTATGACCATTATGAACAAAAATATTATTAAAAGGCTTGTGAGGCATCTATTAGAGAATACATCAAATTTGGACACATTTTGAAGAATTCCCAATGCATCTCTTGGGAAATTTATAAAAGAAGGAAGTTGAGACAGTTGAAGTGGGTGCTTGAAAGTTCTAAAAAGAGTTTGAAAAGGAGGAGTCCTAAAGAGTTTTGAGAGATAGTTTTGGACATATTTTCAAGCACCACAAAAATTTACTTTATCCTTTTTGTTTTTAGTTTATTTTGAGAGTGTTGTAAAAGAGAAGTTTCAAAGAAACTTTAAGTGTTTGGTGGAGGACTTGAGATTTGTTTTTATCTTTTGTTTTTAAACTACTTTTCTACTTTTGGTTTTAATCGAGACTTCTTGTTGGTTTGACAATGATTTCTACTTTTAAACTAAAGTGTGGTTTTGTTTTCTCTATAGATTTTGAGAGTTTTTTTTATCCTTCTCCTTAAAATGATAAGTAATTAAAGTGTTGGATTGAAGTTGTGGACAATATTAATCTTTAATGTTGGAAGAATTTGTGATGATTTAATTCCATGCATTTAATTTACTTCTTGATTTGGCCTATCCAGATGTTAAAATTTGTTGTGAGAATATGTAAGAACTGGGCTGGTATTGTCTAATAGGAAAGAATCACATGAGGTTGTATGACTGAGAATGTAATTCATATGATTTAGTGCAAATAAATAGGGAAATAATCTTTGGAGGGTGTAGAGTTAGAGGACTTTAAAGTGACAGGTTAAAGCCCTCAACTTGGTTTATTGTTTTAGGTTCTGATACGAGATGTTAGCCGCTAGGTGGAGGAAATCAAGGGAACTCTAGAGTGAGAGCTGGTATCTTCCCTGCCTAGCAGGTCTTCAGAACTATTCAAACTTTAAATTAACCAATGTTCTTTATAACATCTTTAGTAAGGGTAAAGATTATAATTGCTCCTATTTAACACAACACAATTAACATACTTCCACAATATAATTCTTATACTTATTACTGATTCATGATAAGAAGAAATGTGTTTTCATATCAAGTGATTTTCTTTTACATAAACTTAAGTTATCTTATTTAGTTGTTATTTTTTTGTCAAAATATCAAAAATATCAAAAAGATTTGAATTTTAATACTGTGAAAATATCTATAGTTTAAGTAATTGTGTCTTTTTAGAATAGAAAGTTTGTTGTTCAATATTGCATATTGCATAATTTCTCTGTGGGTTCCATATTTAAGTCTTAATCAAAATGTTGTGTATTACTTGATAACGAAAGTTTGTTTTTCAATAGTGCATATTGTTAATTTTTCCTATGGGTTCGATATTCAAGTTTAATCAAAAAGTCCTATATTACTTGATAACGATACATATTCTTGCAAAATATCCCAATATATATATAAATTAAAGAGTTAAATTCTTATTTTCTTCAGGATCAAGTTTTTTGTTCTATTGCAAAGTAAGGAAATATAAGTGAAAATTATAATTAAAGTCATTGTTATACTGTTGCATATAAACAGTCGGGATCATTTACCGAACAAGCATATAATTAAGCTACAAATTTAATTATTTATGTTTTATTTATGTTTTATATTTTAGTATGAAGAGTCAATTCAATGCAACAACTTGGCCATATAACTCTGACAATCAAGCATACATGTTAAATCAATCAAGCTAATTTGGTTAAGATAGTTTGCCCATTAATTTGATATTATTGTTCAACTTCATTTAGCCATCCAAAGCTGAGAAGATTTCCAAACAAGCATGTAACAAATCTACACAATCTATTAGTTATGTTTTCTATTTGGAGGATTTATATACATAGCACCCAAAACAATAATACTTCATATTTCATACATAAACTTACCTATTTATTTTTATAGCACCTAAGATATTACAATAAATTAAAAAATAATATCTTCACATTAGAATTAGTAAATTGTTTATGCCTAATCATTCATTGTGCTCTTTAACTCACGAGATTTTTTGCTTAGATGCTGCTAGCAACACAATGTCAGGTAGGACCAACAAATTGGTCAGCGGTACGGAACTTATGATTTCTTCTCTTCCTTCTATTGCCACAACATTTGTCGGTAGTCATATCTCAATTGTCGCACTTGTCGAATCATCAATGGCGGGGAACCTCTTCTTTTCTCTCCTCATGTTCTTGCCAATGTTTGTCGGTGGCCATACTAAAGAATTTACCTACGATGTGATTTAGGACTTGGAGTTGAGCAACTACGTGGTGAATGAATTGAGACTTCCTGCACTATAGCGAGAAGGAATTAAAGAGGGAGAGTCAAGGGAACATGTTATAGTCTAAATGAAGGAGTTCAAATTTAGGTCGCATGAGAGAAGAGAACAATGATAGTTGGGTGTAATGGAGGAGTTATGAACGCTATAAGTTGGAGAAGAAAGATATCAAACTAGGAGGGACCAACGAGCAAGGATTTCGACTCGTTTTGTAAGGGTTGTGATGACCTTTATGACAACAATCAAACACAACCCTTTGAGCTTAGCCATGAGCCTGTGCTAAAGTCCAGGCTCACAATTTTGTGAACAAAACTCAAAATAAGACATAAATTAAGTACGAACTAATTTGTTCTTAACTATAATTCATAGTTCAATAATAATTGGTTGTGAGATCAACAATTTGGAAAATGAAGTAATAGCAAATGAGTCAAAATTGCATTGGAACAGTGATATTCCACTAACATCATTAAATATGTGTTGTAAACATACATTGGCAAGTTTAAGTTGATATATGTGAGATTAAAAGTTTTTAATTGTATGTATGTAAATCCCCTTTTATATTTTTATTTCTTTCCTATAGTTATTAATAAACCATTTTGAACCCCTCCACATCTATAAATAGAGGAGGCTACTGAGGATATGGGGATGTAGATCTCCTTTCAAAATTCTGTCAATTAAACTTATTGATTACAAGTATTGTTTTCGCTTTAATCATCTTAGCCGATTCATAATCCAACATGTGATATAGTGGATTAATAGTACAAATGAATCAATGACATGAATAATGAGCAAGGAGTTAAAAATGTGTACATGTGACATAATGGATTAATAGTCTAAATGAATCAATGACATGAATATTAAGCTAGGAGTAAAAATGTGTAAGATTTATAATGAAATCGGTAGAGCTTTCTCTTCAATTAGCAGACCCCAAATTCAAAGCATAATCTAACCATTAATCATTAATTTTTAATCTAATTATCATTAATTAAGACTTAACTTTCAAATAAAATAAAATAAAATAAAATAAAATTAGGAGTATATACGACTAGATCTTACATATTCTAAGGATTTGGGTATGTTGAATGTTAATTTTTCATTGTGAACGATTATTGCATACGGACACCGCTCACAAATTTGCTTGCGGTGTTTAGGGCTGCCAAAAAAGCTCGTTGTTTGCGAACAGCTCGTGTTCGGCTCATTTGTTAAGTATACGAGCCGAACACAAATAAATTTTTAAAGCTCGAATTATAAACGAGCCGAACAAGAACCCGCACACGAACAACAGTTTGTTCGCTCGTGTTCGGCTCGAAATGGCTCAAAAAAAATTGTATAACTTTTTATATAACAATATATTACATATATTATGTATATTATAATATATTATATATACTTATGTCTAAATTTAAATCATAACACCTCATGTGACAATATGGTTAGTGTCTTATTTTATATATCTTTGATCTAGGTTTTAATCTCACACTTTACATTTATTTTTCTTAATTTAAGTTTAACAAGCCGATTTCGAGTCGAACATGAGCCGAACACGAACACAAATATTTAAATTGAACCGAACACAAACACTGTTCACGAGACGATTCGAACACTAGTCGATTTCGAACATGAGCTATTTCGAACTAGCCGAACATGAGCCAAGTCTGAGCTCGCTCAAGCCCTGCTCGTTTACAGCCCTAGCTGTGTTCGATCAGGATCATTGAGATATATTTTTTTTATTTTTTTTAGTGTTAGAGTGGGGCCTACTCTAATTTTTTTTTATGATCGGACATCACACCTAAATTTTATGTGCGATATCCGTACGCAATAATCGCTCGTAACGAAAAATTAATTTCAAGATACTCAAATCCTTAAAATAGCACCCAATAATTTTTCTTTGTAAATATGCCCATGGCCCCTCAAATATAAAAAAAAACGTGTTGCAAAAGTAAAATACTTATTTATTTTAGAAAAGACAGAGTAAGACACGGAGAATAGTCGAAGAATATATAGGTTCTTGTCGCTTGATTTTCTCTGTACTCCTCGTTCCGCCTCGCAAGCCATCAGGAACATTCTCTAATGAATCCCTCGCTCTCAATCTTCCTCCTCCTCGGAATCACGGCCTTCTCTTCCCTTGTTTCCTCGTCTGGCGACCAAGATGTCCTACAGACCCCATGGCCGCTCATCGCCGACGGAGATCCAGAGAATTTGTGGCTCCTGTGTCAAAGCTGGCGGTTCGCCGTTGAAGCGAACAACCTGGCGCCATGGCGGATGGTTCCGCTGGCATGCGGAGGATATATACGAGAGTACATGACGGGCCAGGCCTACGGAATTGATCTGGAGGTCACAGCACTGGAGGCCTCAACCTTCGCTCGTTCGGTGCCGCTCGCCCACGATGGGAAGGACGCCTGGGTTTTTGATGTGGACGAGACGATGCTTTCCAATCTGCCGTACTATGCCGAACATGGCTACGGGTGAGTTGTGTGCGCTTAGGCTTCCTTGCATTGCTTCGTTTTCTCCGTTTTGTATTTGAGGGTTTATGGTTTGATCGTAATGCTGCATCGAATGTTTGGAAGATGCTTTTTAATGGGAATCAGCATCTTTGAGTAATGTTGGGATGTTTGCTAGAGATAGATTATGGAAGGATTCTGTTGTTAGATTTAAGCCTCACAACTGGACACGTTTACTGGTTGATGTTCACAGCCACGTAATGAAGTTTCAAATAGGTGAAGCTTCTTCACTCTAATGATGTGAGGTATATGCTAACTTTCTATTTTCGGGATCTTTTGGGTGTTAGAATGCCCAAAGTTAGACTAGCTGATACCAAGTCACCAGAAGCCAAATAAATTAGTTTTGAACCCCTTATGAATATTCATTGAGTTCGAAGGTGTTCATCTTTCTATTTGTCGGCTATGATAACTTGTACTTTTTTCCATAAAAAGCTTCTTTCGTATTGATTTATAAAAATATTTAAAAGAGTGATGCTCCTCAGACCCATTTCTCTCACACCCAGCAACCATAAATACACATGGCGCGCTTATTTTCTTTATTGTTGCCTAAAGAATTTTGATGAACACAAAATATTTTAAAAATTATATAGACAAATAGCATGTCGATCATTGAGCGTTGAAAAAAATTGGTTTTGTTGAGAAAATTAGGGTGAAGAAAAACAGTAATCCACACATATCCAGAAGAACACAGAAATTTAACGAGGTTCGGCAAAGATGCCTACGTCCTCGGGAGCAGAGCAGTGACTTCCTTTTCAATATTCAGAAAAGAATATAAAATACAAGATTCAACTCTCTCAGAAGCTACTGGCTGTTGTTCTAAATCCATCTGCACTGCATCTGAACTGGAACTGTTCCCTGACACATTGTCTTGATTCTGCTGTAACATAAACTGCTCATCAAAAACTGCATCTCTGCTGATCACCATCTTCTTTGCAATCGGATCCCAAAACTTGTATCCTTTCACAC